TCCTTGCCAGTAGACATCATATATTGGAAAGACATATTATCTACTTCAACAAGATATATCCATTGATCATCCAGGTCATATTTTAAATATCCGGAAAATCAGTAGGGTAAAATATCCAGAAAATATCCGGAATATATTTTCCCTAATATTCCTAATAATTTTGATTTTAGCTGAGCTGTTTTTATTTTTTTTTTTTAACTTTTCTTAAGTTTTGTATAAGGAACAAATATATTACAAAAATATATTCCTAAACTTGTATGTACATAAAATATTTTTGATATCCGGAAAAACTAAAAGTTGAGAAAAATATCCGGAATGCTGGAAATATCCGGAAAAAAATAATCCCTGGATATATCCCAGTAGTAAAATGTCTGGTTTAGAAAACCAGCTCTTTAAACACCTGAAATCTGTCTGGAATGATCTTGAAAAAGACATTGTTATATTGAAGAGGATTGAAACTCCAAATGGAACTTGGATAAATAAATAACATCTTGAGGCTGAAAAATTCTAAGGAGATGTAATAGATAATAGGATCTACAAAAAGGTTAATTACAGTTTTGCTTAAAATAATTTAAACAATCTGTATACACAATCATAATATAATAAATCATAATCATAATTATAAAAAATCCTTTATTTTTAGGATTTTTAGGATAAATCAAGAAAGGAGTATCAAGAATTAGCGCAACTATCTTTGATGATTCTCAAAAAGATAGGTTCATATTCCTGGTCCAATACATCATGCAAGATTTATGTCAAAAGCGTTTACTATTGGAAGTTATTCTAAGTTTATCAGAAGAAAATCAAGAAGAGATTCATGAAATGGCTATGTTTGTCTGTATCTTTTACACTTAATGGTTTCTTAGAGCAATATCGGCAACTGCTGTGCCATATCAGGTTAAAAATAATCATTAAGACAAGAAAAAAGCGTAAAAAATGATGAGTTAATTTTCCAATTAATGACTTAATCTAATATTGTTAAACATATTTTTAGGATATGAAAGCTCTGTAGCAGATGAAGAGGTTCATGGATATAAATCTTCTTGAAGCTACTTTAGCAATAAAATAATTTGACAGACACAGATGGTACCTTGATCCTGCCTTATTTGTGCTTGCATTAGCAGATAAACGTTGTCTAAACAGAGAAGATATTGCCACATCATTATACAATACACTTACCACTAAACCAATACCATAATGGAGGACCATAAATCTAGTAAAAAAGCTGATTGGAAAATCAACGAAAGAGAAGAGACTTTTTCTTGTTAAACCATGTTTACACAAGAAATAAAAAAGGTACAAAAAAAAAAGATTTAACATCAAATGTAATTAGTAGTATTTTAAAACGCTGATTGTTGGTTATTTAATCAAAGTTTAAATTTACATTAATTTTATTTTTATTTATTTTCACTTCTCTACCTGCAACTCGAAACAAAGTTATATTATTTGGGAAGTGGTAATCCAACTTCATCTAGATTCATCTCTAAGTTTAACATTATGTAATACATTAAACTAGATTTTGTAATAAAAATACTATAGAACTATACGTTGAGCTTTTAAACTCCTTTTTTTGGGGAGGGTGACAACTTTACATGATCATAAATGTTGAACGCTACAATATTATTAAATGAAATTTGAAATCTGTCGATAAATGTAAATTTAGTTCAGAATAACAATAGTATAAGTTTAGGCAACTTATTGCCCTCACCTTTAGGGTAGGGGGGCAAAGTTTTACAGTTTTTCTAGATCTCAGGCTCCGATTACTGGAATTTTTTCAAAGCATCACAATTTGATATAAGTATAGGTATACATAGTTTTTAAGTTTTTTCCGTGTCTACATGTTATTTATCACCAGCAGCAACAAAAGCTACCACGATCACTGAAACAAACAAAATCATTTTTTTGTCAATATTTAGTGACTTATCTATTTTTCAATGTTTTTCAAGTTTTTCAGTGTTGAAAAAAATAAAAATACAAAAAGAGTGCCTTTTCGTTTTTTTATATAGGTTCTTGCAAGAATATGTAAAAAAAATAATGTTTAAGGGTGGCACATGCTGGTCAAAAAACATCAAAAAAGGGTAAAAAAAAAAGTACTTTTGGGCCATGTACCACGCTTAAACTTCAAAAAAAAAATAAATTCTATATATAAAACAAGGGTCTGTGCACAAACTTCCACTCCTTTAGTCCTTAAAAATTTTTGACCTAAATTTGAACTACCCTAATATATATATATATATATATATATATATATATATATATATATATATATATATATATATATATATATATATATATATATATATATATATATATATATATATGAATATATATATATATATATATATATATAAAATTTATGGGAAATATTGGTGCTAACTTTATATGGAAATTCTTAACAGTATAATGCAATACAAGAAATTAAAACATCTATCCAACAAGCATGGAACGGTATTTCAAAGGTTTGTTTAAAAAATCTTATAAAAGGTATCAAAATCTAAATCTTCGAATTAATTAGTGTAAAAGGTGGTAGCATACATTATTAAAAACTAAACTAATTAAAAAATTATTATCTAGAACTTAAATTATAAAGGATTACCTTTGATGGAACTATAGAAATTTCGTCTGTTTTTTTGAAATTAATTTTTAAGTTTTACAAAATAAATTAATAATTATTTTACCAAGGCTACCATTTTGAATTTTGAATATTTGTAACTTTTTTCAAGAATAAAGATTTTGTTTTGTATTTATAATGTGCAGTAGTATCCATCATTTTCCTACCAAAATTTCAGTTCCACATTAGTAAGTTACATATTTAATATAAAAGTTATACCTAATTGATGATACCTAATTGATGATACCTAATTGATGATACCTGTTTTCAGACTATTCCAGGAAAGTTTAAATTCAAAACTTTTTTACATTGCTTGGCACAGAAAAATATATTTACAAAAATCATTAAAAATGTACTGTAAATTAATATAGTATTTGTAAAATCAAGATATATTTACAATATTGGATTATAATTGTACGATTTAAAATTTTGTTCTCTAAATTGTACCAATAGCATGTTTTTCAAAACTTAATTCTCTATCAAATAACAAAGTTTAAATTTTTGAATATTTCAACTTTTTTAGAACAGTTTATCCCAAAGTTATAAAATACAATAAAGTCTCATTGTTTCTACTTTGTATTTTTTCTCTATTTTGACTTTATTTTTAGAAGGTACAATATCAGCAACCTTACCGTACAAACTTTAACTGACATCTTATAAAGAGTTTATTGTTTTAAAATTTAAAAAAATAATACCTTCTTTTTTGGTCATAAATCTATTGTTATAATTTTTGCTTGAATTTACGCTTAAAGCAATTAGAGCTCTTATAATGTCTTTGTTTATATTAGTTTAGAAAAATAATATTTTATAATAGTTAAATCAGCTTTATATAAACAACGTATATCAAATAAGTAAAAACAGAAATTTCCTTATAATTAAGAAAGAATTTTTTTTTTCAACAAGTAATACTTTTTGTTTATTAATAACTTTTCAAAAGTATTTTATTTTACGCATTTGCTCAGTGCATGCAAATTAATGATAAATGCACAATAAAAAAAACTTTTAAATGTTTTTAACATGCAAACAAACATTACTTCACTTTAAGAAAAATAAGAAAATTAAAAAAAAAAAAACCAGCATGCAAAATTTTATTTATAATGAATGCATTTGCTTTAAACTTTAAACATAATTGCTCATTACTTAAAAGAAACCATTTTTAACAAACGTGCGTATGTTTGTTAATTTGTCGCACCTTATACCCTAATAACTTTTTAATAAAATTAAAATTTGCACCAAAAAATTTTATAAAATTTTATGGCACAAAAAACATTTGGCCATTTAAATTGTAAAAAACCTGAAAAAATTAAAACAAATTAAAAAAAAAAATTAAATAAAATTTTTTTTTTACTTTCACTATTTCAGTTTACATCAAATAATAAATGTTTTAATTTTTCTGTTTTGTTTTTTTAATAATTTATTTTGTTAAACTCTACAATTTTTATTTTTTTAGTTTAATTTTTGTTTATTTAGTTTAGTTTTTTTTGGATTTTATGCTCTTTTCAGTTTATGGATTATTTATTTTAATTTAAGTTTGATTTGTTTTTTTAGCTTCTTTTTTAAAACAAAATTTAATTTTGATAAAAAATATATGATTTAATTTCAAATTAATTTAATAAAAATATATAATTTTATTCTGATAAAAAAATATATATAACTTAATTTAGATTTTAAAAATATATAATTTAATTTTATTTAAAAAATATATTTAAGTTTATTAAAACTAAAGTTAATGTTTGGGTTTAACTTAACTGTCAAATTTATTTAAAAATATTACTAAATATTATTCAATTTTGAAACTTTATTTGTTTATAAAAAAAAAAATTAGCTTATTTTTATCGCAATTGTTTTTTTCAGTTTTCTTTCTTAAACATTTTTTTTTAAGTTAAAATTATATTTTAAATAAATGGCTGCATCAAAAATTTGCACAAAATGTAAGTTTTATAACTCAAGTTAAATCGCAGTGATTATCTTTTAATTAAAGATAATCACCGCGAATATAAAAAATAACAGCAATATAATTTTAATAATAAAATAATAAACTCTTAATAAATAAAGTAAATAAATTAACGTAACTTTATTATATATTACTTGATATTTAAATCTGATTGGAAAAAAATTGACCAAATGAATTAGTTAGATTGCAGTGTCATGATTAATTTTAGTACAAAATTAGGGTTTTTAAATAACTTTTAAGATTATGAAGTTTTATATAACTTAGGGTGTTAAATAACTTATCTAAATTAGATAAAAAATAATCTTGCTCTTTCAGAGCAGATTATTTTTCATTAAAAACGAAACAAATCATTCTAGTTATGGTTCCAAAATAAAAAAAAATACATCTTAGATTTAGAAAACAAAATCATTAACGATGCAGAAAAAACAATTAAACCTAATGCTTGTATTCTGATCTCAAAGTATGCTTTATCTTGTAATATGTCAACATTTGCAAGCGCTGAACCAGATCCACAAACTCTTTGTCCATTTTTAATAACTACAACACCATTTCCTGTACCAAATATATTTTATAAATTTTCTATATGTAAATATTAAACATTTATTTTTAAAAAATATAAAAAAATCAAATTACTAATAGGTCAAAAAACCATTTTTCCACTATATACCTTTTTATATAATGTTATTAGCATTTTTTTTAAACATGATTATAATTAAAATTTATTTTAAAATCTTTTTCTAAATTCAAAAATTTCTCATAAATGGATGAACTTTTTCTTCAAAACAATGAGTATTAATTTAATTAATTAATAAACAAATTAAGTTTTTTGTTTTAGTGAAACTTAAAAAGGAATCAAGACTGAAAATAAAGCTTTTTTTTTTCCAACTCTTCCTTGTGAAATATTTTAAATTCTAACTCCAACATGTCATTGAAAATACACTTTTGTGTAACATTGTAGCAACCTTGTGGCTTAAGGAAGAAGAAAAAAATATTAGCTTCCATATAAGTAACAAACAGCCTTAGGGAAATAAATTCATTAAAAAAAAAAATCATAAAATCATAAATAATTTTTTTATTCATAGTGAAACTTAAATAATAGAAATTTATATAATATATTACCCATTAACCTGGTGTCTAATGTAATATTTTCTTGTTGTTTGTTTATAAGAAAATCTTCATCAGATCCAGAATCTGAATCAAGCTTTTTGTTTTTGAAACAACATCCTATCAAACCTAATCTACAAAAGTTCATATATTTGTACATAGTATTAACAGTATAAAATATTCTAACTGCATAGTTCAATTTTTCCTTTAAATGTTGTTGCTTTTTTTAATCACTAAATGATAAAAATTTAAAATCAATAAAATATTAATTATTCTTAACAATTCATCAACAATCATATCAAAATTATGTAAAATTATGGGGTTTCGGTTACCATTAACTATTTAAATTGTAAAATTAAAAACCCTTATTTAAGTACTCAAACGGGCGAAGTTTTGTGATATAAAACTTACCTACATTTTTATCTACTACACACTCCATAAAATGTACAGCATGACACTGTATAGAGAAAACAACAGTAGATGTCAAACTTTAGCAGTTTTTTGTATTTTCATAAAATTTAAAACTATTTGCTTTCACTAAGTCTGACAGACTACTACCCAGTTTGCAAAGAAATTAATTTTTTTATTTATTTTTATCTTTTGTTATTCACATAGTATATGAACTAAGTCTGACAGACTACTACTCAGTTTGCAGAGAAATTTTTTTTTTGTTCACATAAAATGTGAATAACAAAGGATAAAAATAAACAGAAAATATAATTTCTTTGCAAATTGAGTAGTAGTCTGTCAGACTTAGGGAATCCAAATAATTTAAAATTTTACATGACAAACTCCTTTTATTAAATCTTAGATGTTTAATTTTTTTTTTTATTGGAAAATCAACACATTGAAGTGTTCAAAATAAATAAATTCTTACATAGAAGTGTTCAAAATAAAAAAAATTGCAGTGAAATATTATTTACTATTATTTAATTTACTTTCAAGTAAACTAAATAATAGTAAAAAAATTTCAAAAAGAAGTTTTTTTTAAAATACTTCTTTAACTGCACCACAAAATAACTTTCTATTTAATAGAAAGTATGAGAATTTATTTATTTTGAACACTTCTATGTGTTGATTTTCCAATAAATAAAAAAATTAAACATATGAGTGGGTCAGAAGCCAAGGGGTACAAGTGATTTTAACAAATTTTACCAAAATTAAGTTAAGTATAGAATTTGATAGAAGAAGCAAACAAAATTGTTGGTGGCCAAGGGATACAAGTGAATCTCTGCCCTGTGCTGCTTTCTACTGGAAAAACATAACAACAGCTGAGTATATTTAACAAAAATACTTTAACTTTAAACAGCTGTATCTCAAAACTATGAAAATGTCACTTGTACCCCTTGGCTTCTGACCCACTCATATAAGATTTAATAAAAAGAGTTTGTCACGTAAAATTTTAAATTATTTGGATTCCCTAAGTCTGACAGACTACTACTCAATTTGCAAAGAAATTATATTTTCAATATGACAATAGACTATTGTCACAAAAATAATAATAAAGCTAAGTTTTTTAAATGATTTCTGAAAATTTTGAAACCTGTTAATTGAAATACCTGTCACAAAACACAATATTAAAAAGAATTGTTTTCCAGATAAAATATACTTAAAGTTTGTTTGGAGATAATACATTATAATAGTCATAAATAATCACATTACTCATCTTAAATGAGTAATTTTTGATTTTACGCTCTTGAACTTATTTTAAAAACTTCAACTTACGGCGGCGATCTATTGGCCACAGTTTATATAAAATCATCTTATAAAAGCCAATAAATCGATCCTTTGTATCATGAAAAACAAAATAAACTAAAATTCTAGTGTAAAATAAGTGAATCTAGCGTAAAATAAGCGAACTAATAATATGCAAAAGTTCTATCTGCTAGTTTAGTTAACTAATATATAGTTTGACAAGGTTCCAACTAATAAGTTAGGGAAAACCCTACTGCAGACTATTCCAAATTTTTTTAGTTAAATATTCTATAATAAAGAATTTTATGCTCATCAAAATTTATATAAAAACATTGGTCTCAATATCAAAGTATAGTGTTAGTATAATATCAAAAGCGCTAATATTCACTATTTTTTATTATTCTTTTTTTATAATGTTACATTACACAACAAAAAGTACTGGTTTTCTATCAGCGTTGAAATAAATATTAAAAACAAAAATAAATGGCTTTTATCAGGTAAAACTTCTTTTTTTAATTTAATAACGACAATTCAGTCGTTATTAAATTAAAAAAAAGTTCAGTACAAACTTACCGTTAGTCGATGTAAGTACATTTTGCCGCGCATATCTTTAACTGTCAATCAATGTAAGAACGTTGTGTCTAGCCCCAACGGAAAGTCATGCATGTTTATTACCCATCGCTTATCTCTAACGGTCAGTTAATGAATGTATAGTTTTGATTATAGTTGATGAACAAAATAATATAACTTTAATTTACAACATCATATACATTTGTATTATTTAAAAAATTGAGCAATTTGTAATAAAATGTTTTTAGCAATGTTAAAAAGCAGGCTCTGTTATAAATAAAAAAGACCATTTAAATTTATTATTATTATTTTTTTAATTATCTTCGCTTCTAACAAGGCTGCAAGCAACCACTAATTAGTGTTGGAAGTTACTGGAAGAGAAAAGATAAAGATTGTAGAGCAAGATAGCGATTGATTAATGTAAAGACGACTTAAAAGATTGCAAATTATATGAATCAGGAAAGCAAGATGAAGGAAGCGAATTCCAAAGAACTGATGTTCGAGGAAAAAAACTAGACAAATAAGGGTTTTTGGAATACTTAGGAACAGTAACAGAAAAAGGATGAGACTTAATTGAATGACAAGTAACACGAGAATGAATTTTAGTAGATGGCACAAGAGACGCTAGCTCTTTAGAGCAGCGCCCATTATAGTATTTGTAGAAAAGAGAAAGAAAAGCAACATTACGACGATGTGACAGAGGTTGAAGGTTGGCTGCAAGAGCAGGTCCAACTATGTTTACAATGCGTTTTTGCACCTTGTCTAAAAGAGAAAGGACATCATTAGAAGATCCGCCCCAGATATGGCAACAGTATTCCATACAAGGCCGGATTTGAGATTTATAGAGATAGAGAATAGAATCCAGAGTAAGAAAGTGACGAGCTCGATAAAGAGAAGCAACTTCAGCAGATCCTAATTTTGCAACGGATTTGATATAAGGTTTCCAAGAAAGATCAGAAGTAAGAGCTAATCCTAGAAGATGAAGGGTAGGAGACTCATCGAGTACATTACCGTTCATAAATATAGGAAGGTCTAAATTATTGCGATAACGATTGGCTAAAAAAATTGAGTTTTATATGAATTAAAGTTCACCAGCCACTGTGAGCCCCATGCTGTAGCAGAAGTGAGATCCTTTTCAAGCTCAGATGCCCCCTGCAAGCAATCAGAGGGAGTTGGCTTCTTATCGTGACAAGAATAAATGGTTGTATCATCAGCAAATTTGCCACCTTAGATGTGAGAATATCTGGAAGATCGTTAATGTAAATTAAAAAGAGTATAGGGCCAAGGATTGAACCTTGGGGAACCCCTGAGGTTACAGAATAACAAGAAGAGTGCTGTCCATCAAGGACAACTTTTATACTACGATTGGAAAGAAAGGATTCAATAATCTTAAAGATGTTTCCAGATACACCGTAAGAAGAAAGCCTCTCCACCTTTTAACCTCTCTCTTAACCTCTCCACCTTTATCTAATGCGCGATAAAACCTATTGGTTATTACTGATAGCAAATCAGCCGTAGAACGAGAAGATCGAAATCCATATTGATGATCAGAAAGTAGGTTATAAAATTCGAGATGAGAGATTAAGTGTTTGTTAATTAAAGATTTAAAAACCTTGCTTATGATAGGAAGAAGACTAATGGGACGGTAGTTAGACGAGTCAGATCGCTCTCCAGAATTTTAAAAAATAGGGATAACAGATGCTGCTTTCCAGCAGGCTGGAAAACAAGACTCCGATAAGCACTTGTTAAATAGTTTTGAAAGTATAGACGACAGCTCCGGAGAACACTTCTGCAAGACTATAACAGGTATGTTGTCCGGGCCGCAAGCTGTAGAAGAGTCTAAGCGGGAAATCACTTTAGATACAGAAGCTGGAGTGATACGAATATCGAGCAATGGATCAACCTGTTTGACGGCTAAATCAGGTAGAACGCAACTAGTGGCATCAAGAGATGATATTGATGAAAAGTTCTTGGCAAACAATTCAGCTTTGTCTTTAGGTGAGTTAACAAAGTCTGAACCATACAAAAGAGGTGGAATTACAGACTTGCCCTTATTATTGATACTATTAAAGATTCTCCAGAAGTCACAAGAGCATAATTTTTGTGATGAAATACGAGATTTCATGATCTGAGAATAGCGAGCTTTGGCGTTAGACAAAACCTTTTTACAAGGGTTCCTAGCAGTAATAAACAGACGTCTGTTTTCTGGAGAATTGTTTTGCTGATAGATATGGAAGTAATGGTTTCGATTGGCAATTGCAGCAGCACAATGTGAGGAAAACCATGGAGAAGAGTGAGGCTTGACCTGGAATTGTCGAGAGGGAATAAAGGATTCCATGCCAGCCTGAATCCACGAAGTTATGTAAGAAGCACATTTGTCAACAGGGAGACGAAAAATTTCTACCCAGGGGCCATCACGAGGAAAATCACGGAAAGAGTCCCAGCCAGCTTTAAGGTAGTTGTAAGATGTACAATGATAGGGGGATTCTGATGGTAAAGAAGAATGAGATAATAGTTTTAGAGAGACCAAACCATGATCAGACGCACCTAAGGGTGAGTGTGAAGAAACTGAGCACTGACTAGGATCAGAAACAAGGCATTAGTCGAGTAGAGAAGGTTAATGATTCGGGTTGTCTGGAAAGCGAGTTGGAAAGTTGACTATTTGAGTTACGGATTGAGAAAGACAAAAGTTGTGGGCCTTAATGTCTGCAGAGTCACTGACACTAGAGCCAAGCCATTCAGTTTGATGAACATTAAAGTCACCGAAAACAACAATATTGGCTGATGGATAAAGAATGAGGGCTTGGTCAATATAATCAGAAATAACATCAAGAAGAGTGCAGTCTTGAGATGAGGGAGAGCGATATAAAACAAAGAGAAAGGTGATAGAGTGAAGTGGTGCTAAACGAAAGCACATAAAAGAGTAGTCTGTGGATTCAAACCTAGTTTCCCGACAAATGGGTGAATTCTTACGAATGTAAAT